TTAATTTTTGTAAATCTATAGCGCAATGCAGTAGGGAGATTTTGCAAACGTACGAAAACGATAACGAATACGTTTACGTCATCACTTTTTTAGACAATCCATCCTCTTAGCATACTTGTTACAGCGTAGGCGATTCATGCATTTTAAACCGGGCACTCAAAACTGCGCACGACGATCGTCGGCCAACGCGAATCTATAAAGAACGCAACGCGACGGCGCGTGCGCAACGGATCGTTTTTAATGACGTCGTCTATCGCTCAAAGAGAGCGGAGTTAGATTCGTCGTGCGACGATCGTACGACTGTCGTACGGCGCAGTGAGAGGCCGGGTTTACATGAATCAATGATCTTATTCTGCTCGTATCTATAGAATGTTTTAGGCACGAATGACGATGATGAAGATGACGTATTCGTATTCTTTATCGTTTTCGTAAGTTTGCGAAACTTCTCTATTATCAGCATACATACATTATATTATATAATTTATATAGCGCTATTTCATGTTTAAGCTACTGTAAAATGATCAAATAAGCGCTCGAATTAGCGCCGCTTTTTAACTAAGCACAGATGATGTCTCGGTGCTTCCACATTTTACTACCCAAAGTTTTGGACGAATACTCATCTAATTAGACCCCCACCTGCCACTGCTACTCTACTTCACTAGTGGTGGTAGTAGTTGCAGTAGTAGCCCTAGTAGTTTAAGTCTTCTCTAATATGAAGACAATTCTCCATGTGTTTTGAAATTCTGCAGGAAACGATTTATAGTTTTATGGGAAGACTGCGGAATAATTCTAATAATGGTTGATTAAAGCTTACCAGAGTTAATACTTCATTCTATTTGGAAATCTGCTCTGTACAAGTCTAATTTATATACTAATTACTATATCAATTAAATATATGTTATGTTCATTTCTATATCGTTTTGTGCAATTGTCCATAACTGTTTCAACAAAAATGTAACAAACAAATTTCCTTAAGTACAACGGCATTGTACCATAAGCACTATTCCACAACACTGGAAAAAATGTAGTGAAATGACCTTGGCAATTTCTATTTCAAACAACTAACACAAATTTCTATCAATGAAAATCATAATAAAATAATATATTCCAGTTTAGTTAAGAAATTTGTTTCAATACCAACCGCTTCTATTTTTAATAAATGGGAAACAGAATTTGGAGAGCCATTGAACTGGGAAATGATTTTTATGTGTCCAACAAAGTGCACTCTAGGCACAAGATTAAAGATTTTTTCAGTTTAAGTTTATTCATGGACCTATTAATAAGTCCATGGTTTATTCATAGATGCATTGCAACAAATAATTTTCTATTTAGGATTAAGATAATTGATTCACCAATGTAATCTATGTAAAGAGAATATCCAAACTTTGTCACACCTATTCTATGACTGTACCATAATGTCTTATTTCCCGGAGAAACTTGAATGTTTCTGCAACAGGAAGTATATATATTCTAATTGCTTCTCAAAAAAAGTACATTTTGAGTCAATAATACTGTAGTAATTATATTGTAAACAATGTGCTACTCCTAGCAAAAACCTATTATTTTAGATGTAAAATTTAAAATGATATACCACACATTAAAGCGTTTATAAATCTATTAACAGAAAGGATCGAGGCTATTGTTGCCAGAAATAATAATAAATACGAGCTGCATTTAAAGAAATGGGAAAAGTTACTCTAATATTTCACCGAGGGTTTTCACTCTTGTCATAAATGTATTTATATTAGGAAAACGATTTTGAATTGTGATTTAATTTTGGTATTCATTTCTTTCTGTATTATTTCAATTTGTTATGTTGCCGCTGCGTCGGCGAAATGGTGTTTCAATATGCTTTTGAAAATGAAATGATGAATAAAAAATAATGAAATAAAAATAAATAAATAAAAATAACTGTTTATGAACACTGTTTTGGAATTAAATTTTTTTATTTACTAATAATTAATTGATTGGTTTTAGTATTAGGAAATGATGTTTATTATAATAATTGAATTGAATTGAATTTATTCATTAATCAGGTAAAACAGGATCGACAAACAACATTAAAACAACAGCAAACAAGAAAGCCAGAAGTGAAAAAAGAACCCTGGTTAATAGGATAAGCCATACAAATTAGCAACTACCTATTTCCATAACATCCTATATAAACGATTTCAAATTTCACAGTCAACGGAGAAAAGAACAAAACACAGCCAACGTAAAAAAGCAATAAAATGCAATGAATATTCAGTAAGAAAGTTAGCCTTTTTAAAAATTCGAAATACGGTACGTTTTTAAAATAATAACACTGACTGAAACTAAAAAGGTTATAACTTTAATTGATTGAAACAGAAAAAAAAAATTACCTTAATTTTACTATATCTATAATTATTTATACTATAATTATTTACGGTACTATTTTAAGAGTACCGCTTGCAATTAGAGGGTACAGTATATATGATAACGTAAGTGTATCTTATCTATAGGTCCTATATATATATTATATATATATACATATATAATTGAATTTGTATTAATTTAAATAATATATATATATAGGACCTATACATAATACACACTTACGTTATCATCTGTACCCTCTAAATGCAAGCGGTACTCTTAAAATAGTAAACAATTCTATATATAGGATGTAGTTGGCAATACTAGCAACGTATAGTGCTCGATACACGTGATAATGCAGAGCGTAAATATTGAAAATGTAGAACTTGTAGAACTGGGTATTATCACTCTACAGACTGTTTCATGCTAATGCAATTTTCAGGAGTGAGAGAATACAAGGATTGTGCGAGTATATGAATGCTAAGACAGGTGAAAATGCAAATAAGTTAATTGTTTTTAAGTAGGTATTTGTTGCTGTGCCTGAATTTAGACAATAGCTCGGTTCTTTTGTTTAGTGTTGACTGTTTGTCTGAATATATTATGTGAAGTTTCTCGGTTATGCACATGTTGCAGAGTTTATATATGTATATATATTGAAAAGTAACAGAAAAGGAATCTGACAAGAAAAGGAAAGTTTGCCTTCACCGGGACCCAAACCCGAAACCTTTCGCATACATGGCGAACGTCATAGCCACTTAACCACGTGGTGATGTGGTGATCCAAGCGCCAGTAGAATTTGAGTTACTTTCATTCGTTTAACGTGTCTGACGTCACAATTTTTATATAGTGCTGATATCGCAATCACATTATATATAATATACATATATACAGTATATATATATATATATAATATATATATATATATATATATATATATGAAGCTAATCAGATATGTAAAAGTAAAAACAACTAAAAGATATATTGTCCCTTGAAAATGACAACAAATTATAAAAATTATTTTGAAATTAACTTGATCATTTTGCAGTAACATACATATTATTAGGCCTAACTTGAGCATTGAAATTATTCAATTAAAAAAATACCCTGATTTTTAAACTGGATAGTTACAATAAAGATAATGAAACACTTCCAGTAACTGGAAGTGTTTCTATCATTGTTTACTGTAAACAACGTTCAAGTTGATAATTTTTATGTTAATTCAAAATGGAAAAGTTAATTTCAAAAATGATTTTTACATTTTCTTATATTTTGCAAGGGACAATATATCTTTAATTTTTGTTTGAAATAACATACAATAAATATTGATCTTAGAACTGAAAGAGCGAACTTTAGTCGGCAACCAAAGAATATTATTGTATCCACGCATTATACTGTATCCGTAGGCTATAAAGTAAAGTAAATAATTAGTGTTAACTTATGTCTGAAAAATGGAATGGCAAACAAACTAACTAATGATTAACCTGCTTTAACTGCTTTAAAGACATGACTAAAGAGAAGCCAAGTAGTTAACCCAAAATAAGTTACGTCCATCTATGAAGCATCATCTTTGCTAATACCTCTGGCTTACATTGTCTGCGCGTTTATCGCCCTCTGTGCATCACATTATCCTATTATAGGTGATTTTATCGTCTGCATAATTATTCTTCATGATGACATTACCTGCAAAATAAGGTAACTTTACAATGAAAAATAAGGAATTGTCCCAAATGACTATGTAGGATAATTACGTCGTTATTAAAGCATCACTATAAATATCATAATTTACATAACGTTAACAGAACATGAATTTTTTTCTACTTGTGTTAATGAACTGAATTGCAAATATTACAACCGATATGCAGCATTGTTCTCATCTAATTACACAATTTTATTCATCATCTGTTGTTTTTCTTGTGCAACTTTCATTGATCAATTTTTAATATTGATACTTTTAGGCCTATAAACCTTGAAGATACAAATCATGTTGTTTTACTTTTGCAAATACGTGGTATACAAACTAACGTGAAGAAGGATGTTTACTGAACACTCTAACATGCGAGTAGGCCTACACTTCAAACCAAGTATAGCAGCAATGTCGTATAACATTAGCCGTTAGCGATAACAATAACAATAACTGGCCAAGGCCTAACAATGGTAAATAATGTAAATTAGGTGAATAACCTTAACTTATGAAAAATCGATTTTAATAAATATGGATACACAAATATTTGTATTCAGGTATGTCAAGCTCCGGGAAATTATTTATATAAAAAATACAATAATCTTAGTTTGAGTGAAATCGATTTCAATGAATATGGATATACAAATATTTGTATTCAGGTATAATATTAAGATCCAGGAAATTAATTATTTAAAGAAAACAATGTCCAAAGATGTTGAAGAAAAAATATAAATGGACTCGTATGTATCATTCGTGTTAGCAATTTCAACTCAATGATAAATGTGATTAATTCTTCATATTTTTTATGACGTCTTTAAAATATCGAATTCTTTCCAATCGTTGCCATAGAAATTTATAATGGGAGAGCAACACAGCGCTATACAGTTCCTTGATTGGACAAGATGTAATTAAATGAATTATCCTTAAACCATGTTGAACATGCGCATAAGTGACAGGTTGCTTGAAGTGGTTACTCTCTGAACGACTACTGTATACAAATAAAACATCGGCGATAGTGTCGGGTACCGTACTTAGTTGCGGATTTTAACCAGACGAGTAGTCACTTAGCTTGTTACAGTAGCCGGCGCGCGGTCATAACAACTCTCAATTATGTATAATACGGTGTCGGTTTTAATATTTGTTGGCTTTCTGACGATCACAGGTAAGTCTGTAGTAGGCCTAAAGCTTATCAGATAATAATTATTTCATACCAGAGGCCAAGAAAGAAACAGGGGTGGCGCCAGGATTTGCCCGACGGGGGCCGAGGTCCCCGACGTGGGGGCGGGGCGATTTCCCCGACCAGTGGCAGATTTCCCCGACGAAGGCAAAGTATGCGTGGTCGAGATTCGAGGAAAAGGTTCTGGAAGTTGTCCAGGGGGCGAAGCCCCTGAAAATTTTGACAATTTAGGGGTTTCAAAGGTTTATTTAATCGATTTTAGAGTCTACTAAATATGTAGAAAATACATATCATTTTTTTTCTCCCCCGACGAATTGTGCTTTTTCTCCCCGACGGGGGGACCAGCTCTCTCCGACAGGGAGCCCTGCCC